CTTTAAGCTCTGGTTTGCCAAACTGAAAAAGCTACAACAGAACTATATGTATTTTGTGCAGTGTAGACTTTTCCAGGTTAGCCACATTAATAAATTTATTTTTGCCTCTGATATTACTCTTGAAAACCACTGCAAAGCAAGATTTGATAACCAGAAGGAGCTTTCCCTTTAGAAGTACCCTACATTTCTCACCACAATTCAAACTAAGCATAAAGATTAACAAACCTCATCTCTCCCTAAAGACAGCCACATACACAGAAAAGGAATTAGTTTTTGAGGTATGGAAACCAGAATTACCTTTGCTACAGTCTACAGATACTTAAAATCTGTGATTCAGTTTATAATTACACCAAGCAGCCAGATTGGGATTTTTAAGTATTTGTATTAAACCCCATTTTATGCCTGTAGCCGTTCAAAATCTAACAGCTATTTCCAAGAATTTATGCTGTGACTGCAAGAGTAGCTATTTGCCTACTGGCAGCAACATGTTGGCCATTAACCCAAGCAGGCAAAATAAGCCACTGTCATTAACTTTTATCAGCCAGCTACGCTGCTCAGAGCCTTCTGTGTGTCCTTGTCCATTTAAATAGGCTTTTTGGTGATGAATTCTGGAGTACTGTTCTCTACAGTCGCTAGCAAAGCCCTGGATTTTGAATATACACCTGATAAAACAGATTAAAAAAAAAAAATGCAATTAAGCCGACTCTGTTCCTAAGGGAGCACAGTCACACTCTGCCCTTCACACTACTGGGTAAAGAGATTCAGGGTCAAATCCCTGAACCTTTGAAAATTCCATTCCTCAAGACAGACTTCTGTCTTTCAGTCTGAGTTACCTAAGGAGCATTCCACCAGCTGTGGGTACACTGTCATGGATAGAAGCTTTTAACAAACTATTGATTTTTTACTGAATTTTTTTAGTAAAAACGTAAATGAATGTAAGGATTTTTTTTTTTCTTTTAAAAAATACAAAGAAAAAGTTAGTGAAGACAGTGCTTAAGTAGCTGGGTTACTAGAGCAATACAGCTCCATTCTGATTCCTTTAAAATAACAAAAGGTAATATTCAGACTTTTCTGAAGAAAACCTACCAGCATTTAGGAAAACAGGTTCTGGTTCTCCTTTGTTTCCATAGTAGCAAATTACATCTCCTTTGGTGGTACTGAAAAATATAAATAAGAATTTCTCCTTGAAAAAAACATCAGCTTCTATGTTTGATTATGCTCTAATTCAATGCAATTGTCAAACACAGCAAGATGCTTCTCCCACTGCTACTCCTATGATACCACAGGCCTGAGATTGATGAGTTGTATTACTCTCCTCCTCACAAAACACTGTATTACCTGTATCACTGTCAAAGATTACATTATTATATTTAATCATAACTATAATAAAATTCAGTAAAATCCCAGAACTGCTGCATGGAAAGTAGCCTAGCCTAATGACAATAACCTGGATGGTTTTGAATAACTGACGATTTAGTTACTTAAGGAAAGGAGGCATGTTAAAACAAAAGGATGGCATCACAGCAAGTAACTTTTTCCCCCATCATCTCTACTGAATCATTACCACATTTTAAGAGGCTGACTACTCTGGGCCATTTTATTTGACAGAAGCACATTTTGAAGCCCACTTACAGCAGTGTCATAGGGCATGTCTGGGTCCTTGAAGTGACAGATACGCATTTTCAGGCTGTTGTGAGATAATTTCACCGTTTGTAAACTCCCTTTCTAATTGCAGGTACCTGTTTCAGCAGCCACTCTCTTGTGCCCAGTTTTAACAGGGCAGAGGACCTCACATGACATTCAAAACCAGCTTCCAACACTGGAAGTAACTCTCACTTGGCAGAGGTGAAATCAGCATATCTGAATTGCATAGATTTTTAAGCTGTTGTACTGATATTGACAACACAAATACCAAACCAACTAATAAGACAAAAAAAAAAACCAACAAGAAAGTCAATAAGCTTTGTGTGCTTGTGGGAAATGGAGCATGGGAAATGGATTGCCATTAGATGGCTCACTCTCAGCATCCCTCAATCCCATCAACTGACATGAAACAGTGATTCTGCAGATTGCTACCAGTTGGTGGGGTTTTTAAATAAATTTGCCAGGACACAGCCATGAAACTATGTAATATTATATTTCCCTCTAGCGATTTACTTGTTCACAGTGGAAAAGTGTCCTATTCAAGTTACTTACACTCTGATTATAGTTCAGCTTTTAATGTCCATCAAGCTCTAGCTCCTTAGAGAGCAGACAGACTTTCTAAATGAAAAACATACAAAAAACAGCCCCAAATCCCAAACACAAAACTTGCAGTTAAGATTGAATTTGGATTGAATAGCATAAAACATAATACAGTAGAGAAGCCATTTCCAGCTCATTTTTTTAAGATAAAACCACATAGCTGTGCCCCAATGCAAATAAGAGTATATAGAATGCAATCTCATTAACAATGTACTAGAAGTTCAATTGCTCTGTATAAGTTTAGCGTCTACTACTCAAACCTTAACAACAAGCAAAACAGCCTTGATTTAGCTGTTTATATTCTTCATAAAAAGCTATTCTGAAAGATGTTCCATAGAATCCTCTGCAAGACAGCCAAATGAAGAGGGAAATTTAACTTAATTATACAAGTCAGAAGAGGCAAGAGGAGGAATACAAAAAACCCCCACATAAAGTAAAAACAAAAGCGTCTTTCCTCCTCTGTGCAGTACTCTGTCCCTCCTGCAGACTTGATACTTTCCTGGTGCCTTACAGAAATACGTCCAAGTGTTCCAGCATAGTTCAAAGACAGTAATTATAGCAGGTGGTATTTGTGTTTTGTTGCTTCTATTGTTAAATATCATGAAAAGCTCCCAGTTAGTCAATTTACAATTTACCTACTTGTTAAAAGAGATGTGGCATTTTCTGAACTTTCCTCTAGTGGCTTAAAAGACATTTATTTTCCTCATCTTTGTTTTTATTTTCAATATTAAGATCCTTGTTCACATTTACCTTATGCTGATCTCAAGACTCTTCATCGACCACCTTAACTCTCCACAGATGACTGCTCAAATCAGAATCATGCTTTAATTTCATCAGGGCACTGAATACCAATTGTTCCTTTCCTATTCTACCCCTAATTCTTATTCTCTAAAGTTTTCTCCTAGTCTCTGGTAGAGCTCTCATGGAAATACATTATCTGTGATTCAGTAAAATATTCTTATCCATCAATAAAAATATATTAGTGCAAACCGTTTGTTTCTTCACCCCATTTGGAGTATTTGCATTGGGAATACCTAGATAGTCCATAACAAAAGTTGCTGAAACAAAATAGAAGGGAAACACAAGATAGGACCACAGTTTCCTTTCCTTAATGTCTCGAGATGCAAATTTCTGTCCCACTATCGCATATTAACTTCTGTATGCAACCCATTTATGGAATCTGTTAAAAGTGCTGTATTTTCTTTATTAGAGACAAAAGGGGTTTTTAAATCATGACCTTTAAACACTCTAAGGCAGAGAAATACAGCATTTTAATGAATATGAGAAAGCAATGCTGAAAAGTACAGGTGGAACTGAAAAAGAACTCAGTGAGGAACAACCTGAACTTCCCTTCTATTTCTTGAGACTCCTTCAGATACAAACAAGTTCTGTATTAAAATTTACATAGAATAAAAGGTATAGTTTGTTCTTGAGCAGGTAAAGCCAGCAATCAGAACAACAGCTGTTTTCACCAGATGGGTAACGTTTTCTTTGTTGAATAAGCTTAAGTATTAGAAATAAATTACTGGAAGAGTGGGGAAAATCTAATGAAATATTCACCCATTAAGCTGGTTCAGCAAACATTTTGCCAGTAGACTTGTCTGCAGAAATATTTGTATGAGAAAAATGAGCAAAACTTACATTTCTAAAACCATTTTTATAGTCATGCCACAGGCAATAAGAAGTCTTTGACTCTTTTTCATATTCCTAGCTCCTTCAGTTATACAACCAAGATATTTTGCCTTTAAGGTAGATGGAGGTTATTATAAATTGTTTAAAATTTCAAATATAAGACTCCCATACACTCTTCCCTTCACTGGATCCTGTCAGTTCTTCAAGGAGAAGGAAAGAAACCTTTAGATAGGCAGAGAAATTAAGCCATACTTTATTTGGCTGCAAATACTAAGCTACATACCTGAGATGCCTGGGACCTCACAGGAACAAAAAAAGAATGGACTTCAAAGGATCAACAGTTCAAAGGATTGAATCCCCTGACAGCTAAAAAGGACAGTATTGAGCTAAGCCATCATCAATAGATTAGTCTGACTTCTTGGTCCTAGTCACATGCTAAGACACAAGAAGTTTTATACTCAGCATACAATGGGACACTCCGCTTTCCATAAACAGGGACAAAGAAAAAGCAATGTGCAAGTAAAGTAGCAATTAGAATACTTGTAATCTATTTAAACAAATAAAGCAAAATTAAGGTCTTTTTTTTTCAGTTAATACACCAGTAATTACACAGACTATTTTATTGGTGCATTAAATATTATCTTTTCAAATTGTCAAAGCTGTATTTGCTGTAGGTTGTCTACAAAGAGAAAAGATCAAAGCAACTGTTATCACCTGAGGTCTGAAAAGATGGAGTTTTAGGTATAGATCTGGACAAATAGCCCAAGGAAGCCCCTGAACACAGATATTAGACAAGTTCTGTCATAAACAAGACTGCATGCAGAACAAGTAGGCACTACTGACTTCCTTTAGCAACTGCTTTTTATGTTAAAGAGTATTACCTAGCATCTGTGCTGTGATTCTTGTGACTGACAAATTCACTAACAAGCTCGCCTGGAGTTGAACAAAAAGATGGGAAAGGTGTATCAACTGCAGGGTCTCTAATTCAGGACATCTGTAACTTATTTTTTCTACATTCCACATTCCTCCAGATGTGTGTTTTCTATTACCTCTAACTTACCTCTACTGCAACACTGCTGCTGTCTTCTGTCAAAAGACTAAAGCTTTCCAAGAGACTTCTGAAATGAAGATACTTCCAAAATTCGGTTCACTGTGACAGTCAGCTACTCTTTCTTTTAGCATTTGGCTCCACCTTCTCTCTTCCTACTGTTTACAGATACTCAGTACTCAACATCAAGGCAGAAGCCAAGGTGAGAAAAAAATTACTGAAGCTTGATCACAGCGATAGCCTCAAAATCCTTGCCTGGGCTCAGACTCCCTTTCCTCCCAGCTTCACATGTATAGGTACCCGAATTCACTGAAGAAGGAGTAAAGGCATAATTAAAGTGATGACAATAGGACCCAGACTTTAATTTTTTAAATTCCCAACCATAGCTGACATCAGAAAGAGAAAAAACTAAAACTACATAAAAATTATGCTCCTAAATACATAATTCTGTCAAAAAAAAAAGCAATAATAAAAGTTCTAGGAAATATTCTAAGGAGTATAAATGTCAGTAGTAATGGATTCCTCACAGCAACATGGAAGCCACACAGTGCTTGACACAATTACTTCCTAATGCAGATGAAATATAAGCAATGTCCTTCTGCACCAATGCCCTGCTTCAACTTCAAGGTGGCTGAGTTACGTTCACCAAAAATATAGACAGGAAAAGAAGAAAAGTAATGAAGCACAAAGCTCCACAGGGTGTGGTTATCACCAAGGGATCACTCCACTGGGCACTGAGCTCTGATCTTCTAACAGGGAGAGTATTTGAGAGACATTGTATTGTTTAATAAATAATGTGTGCATGTATTTTTTGTGCAAGGACAAAAGACGAAATTGGCAGCTTGAAATGACAATCAGTAGTTTCAACTGAGCAGTACGGCTCACATACTCTCTTCTCTTCAATGTTCATGAGATAACAGAAAACTCCTTCTGTTCTGAAGCTGAAAACAAACAAGCAAACACCAAACTACCAACTATAAAGCCCAAACATTTTTGTAGCTATTTCTCCTACCATCAAATAAAATGGTGAAAAGAATACTGCTGGATACTCACAGTGGACAAGGCCTGCTTTGAAGCAGTACTCTGATTTTGTTCTTAGCATCTAAACATTTCTTTGGTGTTGTCCTAATTTTTTGAGCCAGGCAGAAGCTGACACCAGAGGGAAGAAATAAAGAAGTTTCTCAGAAGTTTTTTTTTTTCCTTCTCTTGACATTGGACTGTCCATCTCATTAGACTTGCAAATGACTGAGGATCTATGCAGTAATATTTCAAAGGTGGTAGTACAGAGCACATTAGAGAAGTACCTGGACACCTCATTTGCATGAGGAAGTCACAAGCAGCAAGACTGATGTACCACAGAAGTTGGTATTAGGACAGACAATGCATGAGAAGAAACTTAAGTGAGCTTACAGAGCACACAACGACTTGCCCATCTACATTCTTTCCACACCAGCAGCCTGACCCTATCTCACTTTGCACTGGTTAGGATCTTAATCTCTGCAATCAAATCCCTCCTACACGGCCTCGTACTGATAATCAAACTGAGTAAGAGAGACCCTGTTTCCAAAACCTGGTTGCACTGTTCAGCTGTTTTAATCTTAGAAGGCCCTACACTACAAACCATTCATTTAATCCCGAAACACTTTCTTCAGCTTGCTTTTATCTCGATGCTGCTACATCACTAGCCTACTGTAGATTTCCATATTAAAAAAGGAAAAAAATGTATATAGTGTCTCATGGTATTTAAATATAAACACTTTAAAACATGTATTACATATTGTATATTCATGCATCTATTCCTTACCCATATACACAACCCAACCCCACTGTCTTGGGGGATCTGCAGTTTCAACTGGAACTCAGTCCTAAAACCTATTATTAGCCAAATGTCACTCTCCAGATCAGAACACGAAGAATAAGTTCTAGTATGTAATCTCCATTTTCAATACATTACCAAATTAGTCAGTGCAGGTGATCATATAGTTTACTACATTTCCCCTGGAGGGCTTGAAAACTGCCAGTCACAGGGGAGAGCAGAAAAGCTTAAATGAAAGACCATTTTCTGCATCTCCTCCCACTTGTTTTTGTTAGGGACAATTCATCCAGTCCTCATGGAGAAAGTTATTCACTCCTATTACACAGGGATATTCTTGCACATAAACAATATGGGCTCTCACCGGCAACTTGTCACAGACCCTAAACTTGCTGGGAGAGTGACAAGAAGCTGCCACTTCAGTTTGTCCTTCAGGGCAGTTTGTATCACATGCTTGGCCATATGGAATACAAGTGAGATGCTGCCACAACAGCCTTGATACAAGTACTGAGACACCCAGGAAAGTCTGAACAACTGTAGCAACTAGATTTCTTGGACATAAACACAGGTTTCCCCAAGAGAAATGCTTTCCCAATCATTGACAAAACCAGCTCACTATTACTTCAGATATTATCACAAAAGAAGAAAGAAAACTGCTCTGAATCTTAAGCAGACATTTTTTAAGAGACCAGTCCAGCCTCTGATGAATTTGTTCCTCTCTAATCAGACCAACTGACAGTCAGAATTGAAGGAGTAGTGAGCCTGCCCTCTTAAAAGCTAATTTTGCAGCCACACAAGACTTCAAACAGAGTTTGCCATATGCCAGACATTCAACATAAAAGTACATTTAAAATAATGCGATAAGTATTCATGACTTATACTCAGCAGGTGTAGCCAGATGATACACTGAAAAGATGAGAAAAGTACTGAGCATTTTTATCAATACAGTGTTCTTATTAAAACCAGAAATGAATAGCATTAAAATTGACATCAGGAGATACCACAGAGCAAACAGATCACACTAAAAGTGCCAAAACCCATGCACATTTAAAATAAGTCACACCAAACTGGAAATAAACGCGATTTTACAACCCATATGGTCATTTTCAGCACTCCTCACATCATTGCACCTGTATCACTTAGCACATTGTCATCATCATAACAGAGAGAAGATACAAATTTCTTTTCCTGAAATGTTTACCTGAAAACACAAACATTGTAAATCTCAATGTGCTGCTTACAGCCATCAGTATCATGTGCTAAGATATACTCCTCCCCAACAGCGCTTCATTTACGCTTTCAATTTGAGTTTCCTCTCCATTTTCCACCACTCTAACAGAGCCAATCACTATTTGTTAATACATGTTAAAAGCAGTCTTCAATCTTCACTTTGAACAGCAACATGGTCCAACAAATTAGCATTCACCACAATAACATTTTCTATTTACACAGAGTGTAGCTTCCATTTATATTTCTCACAGGAGTACTTCTAATTTCCTAAAATGACAAGTTTACGTCTCTTATAGAATTGCACTGCATCATTAGCTTGGCAAGAATTTCATTTCATCAGAGTATCCAAAGCTAAGGATGTGTCAAAATGGAGAAGTTAATCAACACATACAACTTTCAGAGTAATACTCAGCAAGGAATTATGACCTGCATCACCACAGAAAGACTATTCGGTTGAGCATGCAATCCCTTATCAGCCCTGCATGGAGGAATAAACAAACAGAAGCAACATATGAATGATTGTCTTAACAAATAATGTCCATTTAATCTATTTTAATACATTATACTAGCAGCCATTATGACTATTCTATTTACCTATATTACAACAAAGAAACTCAGATTTACTTACTGCTTGCTATGAATATCAAGTTTGCTTGAAAATATATTTAGACTATTTCTTCTGTTATCTTTTCAGTTATAGACAGCCTTCCAGCTTTGGAAGGCTAGCCAGGTAGCAACATGCAGCAGAGAGCACAGAGTCAAACCCTCTGGCCGAGGCAAAAAATAATTGAAGCAATAGAAAAATACTGAGAAGTATCTGGTGGGATAATGAACTTCATAAAAAAGAGAGTGAAAGCAACATAAAAGCAGCAAACCCTGTGTTGCCTAACCTGCTTCTGGATTAAACTTCTGGAAACATAACATATGTTTACTTCTAAGCAGGCACTCCTTGTGCCTTCAGAGGTCACATATACTTGCCTTTCTGTATTCATCCTTTTAGACTTTGATCACCTACAAGAGTTTCACTTCACTTTCCCATCATAACACAGCAAATTAAAAAAATAAAAATGAACAGTCTGGCAGAATTTGAAATAAAGGACTTCCTTAAAAAAAAGACACACTTGCAGGAAAGTGGGAGTGAAAAGATGATGAAATAACTGGGAATTTTGAGCCACCAGCTGAAGGTGGTCTAATACAGAAAGTGAAAAATGTAAACACAGGCCAGTCAGTGATTGGGTCCTAGAAATTATTTTCACTGAAAACAGCAAACACTGTGCCCTTCTGCTCTAAGCATATGTGGTTTCCCAGAAGCATGCAGAAAAGGTGAACAGGTGAAGGCCCTGCACCGTCAGCTTGTCTACCAAGATAAATGCTTCTGCAGAAAGTGTATCAAAGCATTAGCGTGCTCTTCACAATTTATACCTGCTTATGGTCATGAAGTGTGCATCCAACTGAGCATTGATATATAGCCTGGAGATTACTTTAGTCCTGGATTTCCATTCTTCTGAATCAGGCATAATACAAAGAAAAATCAGCATATGTATTTGTAAGCACACACATGCATGTGCAGTGGAAAGCACTGTGCCAGCCATATTGACTATAATAAAGTATCTAAGGTCCTTTCTTCAGCTACAGCAACTTGAAGAAGTTAACATATTTGTTATATGCTGATTCTTTTTAATGTTTCAGCAATGATTAGTGATACAGACACTTGACAGGAATAATGGCTTGAAAGCTTTCAGCTCTTCTAATCCTGCTGCAGAGCATGCAACCTCTCAAAGGAAAAAAAAGAAATCAGAAATTATGGAGCCAGGGTTTTGTTTTCTCCAAGACACAAGCCACACAGCCTTCAGGGTAAAGACTGACTATGGCCTATTAGGCAGTCACAAGAAGTTTTGAGGGAAGCAATGAATAGAATAAAAGATAGCCTCCAGTGTTTGAAAGATGAAAATATAAAAAAGAATTATGAGCAGAGTAACATTAGGACATTACACACCAATTAGCAAAAAAAGAAGAGTTCTAGCATTAGTCTGTGATGGGTTTCTGTACTGTTATACCTCTGTACTAAGAAAGTCACTGCTGTTATCTTTCTCCCTTTGACATTTGACCTGTCACATTTTATAGACTTACTTGAAGTCAGCTGCTAATAAATTAAATCCATTGTAAAGATGTCCTTCTACTGAGACTTTCTTCAAGTAAGTGTAGCTGTCCAGATCTCCTGTCAAGAAGTTTGTCACAAGAGCACCTAAGGGAAGTACACAGAGCAACTTATATGCATGAACTCACTATTCCGACAGACTTGGTATAACAAGCAGTAAGACACAAGATTCCTGTTACCAGCAGGGTAAAACAGTGGGGAAAAAAGCACCTACCAAAAACCCACAACAAACCAAACAACCAGCCTTTAGAAGTCTTACAGCATTGTATCATATTCACATTAAGAGCTTGACTTCTACTTTGAAGAATTCAGCCAAAAGCTCTTGGTCAAAATTTCTACAGGATTCATATTTACTAACTATCCTATGCTGCATGGGCCTTTCCTCTCCTTCCACCCTGCCAAACTCTTTCTTGTCTTGCTTCATTTCCCCCATACATGACCCTAAAATGAAATACAAAATGACAGGGTTCATTTGTTTCTCTCTTTCATTTGTGTTACATGTTTTGCCATTGTAATATATTCCCAACACAGTACCATATGACAAACAGACCTATTTTTATTTTAGAAAACCCCTGCAGACATTCCCTTTCAGAGGATGGTTTATTTTTATTTCTGCTCCTCCAATTTATCAATGTGTAAGGGAGAAGGGACTAGAGTAATCTCAAGCTAACCTCCAGCATAATCCAAGTTGCACTGTTTCCCTGACTTGGGTGTTTGAACAACATAACATCTAAAAAAGTGTAATGTAAATCTAGCTCAATGCTTGTCTAGTTGTTCTGACTGTTAATTAGAATTACTTTCAAGAGAAGACAGTTGGTGCTGCAGTTCTTGTTTGAATGTAACTTCAGGCTCTAGGCACTACATCTTGTTTTAATTTTGCCTGCTTGATTAAGGTATCATTATCCAAGTCAAGCTTTGAATACCACACAGGTATTCAAACTCATCCATTCACAGATTCTGTTTATAGCACAATAACCATTTTATTTGTCCATAAAGTCATGTTAAAAAAATTTATACTGTAATCATCACTATTTTTCTGGGACACTAGGTCTTGTCTGTCCACTTCCTTCTTTTTCTATTTCTGCTCCTTCATACCTCTTCCTTTTGCATTTTGATCAGTCTTTGGCTGCATATAGTTTGTCAGGGCTGCCAGCTTGCCTTTCTTACTTATTCCCAGCCACGTCCCACCTTCTTTTCCTTCCTCCATATCCAGACCTAATGAAATAAGTAAGAGTTAGGCTATTACATTAAATTACAAACAAACAAACAAAAAAATATCTCAAGCTTAAATCATAATTTCCTAATGCAAATCCTGAGTCTTGATCAGGCTGGATAAAATGCAGGAGGTCCAAGACTGTCTTTCTCGACAAGCGAGGTCAGCCCTCTTAAATTGTCCATCCTCTAATTCCGCACAAACATTTACCAAGTTACTGCAATAACTCATGAGATAGAATGTGAAAATTAAATGTAAAGGCAAAATTATAAGCTTTGCCTATACACTAAACTACATATAAAACTCAGGCTCAGAATGCTTCTTAGCTCAAAAGCAAATCTCAGAAGATTAATGTGATCTGAAAGTTTAAATTCACACATAAACAGAAAAACGTAGATTTAGCTCAGAAACTGATAAAAATCTTGGACTCTGGTAACAGTAATTTACATTGAGAAGGGGGACCCACAGAAGTGTAGACCACAACAAACTCCTGAAAGAGAGTACAAGTTAAAAAAAAACCAACCAATCAAACCAGTACCTGTTTGTAATGAGCTCATGTTAACCAGAAAGCATTTACTGGAAAAGCAAGAACTAATTCAATATATTAAGTACACTCTCAGAAACCTTTTAAATCCTGAATCATCATTTGAAGATCAAAAGAACAGGTTCTGGATACTTATTCAGAAACTCCTTCATTTCCTCAGCATCCAAAACTTCAATATCAAGTTCAGCCATATCACATCTTTACACAATACTTTTAGTACTGTTTCTCTACCTTAACTGAAAAGCACACAAAAGGAAACCATAAAGCTCTGTTGACCAATGCCCAGTGATTACATATTCCTCTTTTCTGAAACAGCTGTTAAGTGCAAAATATTCTTTCCATTTTTAAGTCACACAAAGAAGAAATTTGATTTATTTTGCTCCAACTTGCTGCTTTTATTTGAGATAACATTATTAACTCAAAGGCAGTTATACCCCATATATTCGTGGGATCTCCACAGACACTCCCCCTGCATGGAGAATATACCAGTTTCTCACGCCAAATACAGACAGACCTGACAAGGGTACAAAAGACAAAAATTCAGGACCCTTCAATTTCAGGATAGCTTTTTGTTTTAAACTGCTACATAGCAGGGGAAGCAGCATCCAGAATGTCTGGCACAAAGCAAACATCAGCCAGAACATCAGAAGCAAAGGAGTCGTAGTGCAGTGGGAGTAATTTATCCTCTCAGTTCTCCCTGCCAATGACAATAACACCTAACATCAACAAAGAGTATTTGCAAAGTCAAAACCTGGCATTTAAGCAATGCTTTGCCTTTCACAGCTTCATTTCTGTTTCTGAGAAAAGGCAGAAGTATTGATTATACTTAAAAATTACTACAGCTTGATTCCCTACAAAGGGGAACCAGACAGCTGAATGACTGTACTATCACTTTAGCAAAATGTAGACACCAAAATTAATAAACTGATGGATCAATAACTAAAATTACTCTGAAGACTATAAATTATTAACCAATAAGAAATGAGGAAGTTTTCACTTTCTTGAGGCTTGGTTTAATGATTTTGAGTCACTATTACAGACACTGAACCTGTGGAATAACTAATTCCACCTATTTTAAGATGTATTTCAGTATATTTGACAAAACTAAGCTAATAGCTCCTGATGGACAAATTAATCTGAGGTATTTCCACTGCACTGCTCATATTGCAATCAGTTAAAGAATGTAAAACTGGAAAGCCCCTACAAGATATAAAACCACAAATAAGATAATAGTAGCACAACTCGTCTTTCAAAGTTATGATGTTTTTCCCAGAAGTATAATGAAGAAGTGTATTTCTTATTAGAAATGTAACACTACCACCCCAAGCCCAAAAAATCTAGGCCATAATTCCCTTATAAATTGTTGGTTCAAGTGGTTTCCATAAAAGACATACATACCACTAAGGATCTCATTGCTGCTGTCCCAAAACTCTGCAGATTTGGATGGTCTGTGGTAAAATTCATCTCTATTAGCTGCTAGAATAAGCCTGTAGAACACAAGAGGAAAGAGATACTATTACTTACAAATAGGAATGTCACAGTGCTGGCAGGAACAAAATCCAATTCCTGCCACAGCATAAACTCATCTTAAGTATGAAACCATCCTTTATCCTCACATCTCACTTTTATCATTCAGTGTAAAGGTCAAATGACTTCTGACAGCAGCCTTCTCTCTCATCATCTTGAGACAGTCAGCAAGTCTATCTTGTGAGAATGAGACAGCTATGATTTTCAAAGAATAATACATACAACACAAGAGACTGAATAAAGATTGCTTATTCAATTCCTCAGCACGTGAAGTTACAGCTTAATTAAGGAAAACTTAAAGGTAACCCACAGATTTATAGGTAATTTGTATTAAAAAATAATCTGAGTGTATCTTTTTACTGGATCATTACTTAGGATCATGCAGTCACAGTATTTTTTAACCTAACTTTAACACCTAAAGTTCTATTTATGTAATTCAAAGATACAAGTCAGATGCTTTTTTCTGTAAGTACCCATTACAGAGAGAAATTTGTGATCGTCTCAGAACTGCAGCCCTAATGAAATTCATTAACAGTGTTAGTACTGGAAGACTAGAAATAAAACATAGGCTAATCTGACTGTGCTCATCCATCTTTTGAAAGTTCGCATTTTCTGTTATTCAAAAGCAATGGAAGACAGTCAGAAACTAAACTTAATGACTTACTGCAACATCAAATAGATATAGGGTATCCAAATAAAAGCTTGAGCTACATGGGTTACTGGGTTTCTATGCTGAGAATCAGCCTTCAGACTGCTGTTTGCAAACCTGCAGATGAGCTTTTATTTGATGCTGCTCCTCCATCCGTCTTTTTTCAATTTTTTTTTTTTAATTAAAATTAGAAAAAAAAAAAAAGGAAAAAAGTGAAAGGTAAAGGATTTGGCTGATCCAAGTAAAGGGCAGAAGACAACTGTAACCTTAGGCAAGCCATGTGCTGGAGACTCAGGGCAACAGGTGACTGCGGACATGCTTGTGGACAGCTCCACTACACCATGCCATGATCCAACAGCCAGTGCTTCCAAAGTCCTGCTCATTATTACCCATAACATGACTCACCTTTATTTCAATTGCAAGTTTGTGAGCTCTCCTCATTCTCTCCAGCTATGTTGCTTAATATTTAATTTTAATGAAATGTCGCCTTTCAGAAACCTGCAGATTTTCTTAACCAATTCCTATAACCTCAGTATCTTCTTCACTGTCAGTTGCTCCTACCAGCTGCATGTCAATTACATTCACACAGCAGAAGCCAAGTTTACTACTGTAAAGTGAAGCTAGACCATACAATTTGCATTCTAATTTTTAAGCCACAACACCAGAATCAATTTTCATGAAGTCTCATTACTTCACTCAGCATTCAAATG